AAATCTCCCGCCGCTCGCACTTTGGAGCGATGCCAATCGCTCTAGGCAGAGCGACTGCATCGCGATGGACAAGCGATGGAGCGATCGCGTCGCTCCAGCACTGGTCCATCGCGATGCAATCGCCGAGTCTGACCGACGTCTTACCAAACTCTCTCTTGCCCCAAAAGACACCACACAACACAACCCGTCGTGTCATCATTACAGCGCAACATGTATAGACTTTGACCTGCTCATCTCCTACAATATGCGCTTATGGCCTCTACCTATCATCACCTATTCCTTCTTAGGAAAGCCGAACCGATGCTCGAAATTTGTTTTTCGAACATTTCGACGTATTACGCTGGAAGCGCCTCAAACTCACATCGAAATCCAGAAGAAGCTTACAAGGAAAGGGCTGCAAGTCGTCATAGCCAGTCAGTGCAAGATTTGCGTATGCATCTTGAACAGCTGATTCCACATCCGCCTCCCTTATCTGCTAAACGACTCTTAAGGGAGTTATGGAAGTCTTCTTTCCACGTAATGCTATCGAGGAAGGAAGATGCGCCGCCACTCCCTTAGCGCACGCTTTAGGGTATTTCGCCTTAAAAGAAAGTGATAATCGTGTTCATGAAGTCGAACAACCCCAGGTGACCGCATGCCAGAAAAGTCTGAAATTCGGACTTCACGTCGGAAAAGAAGAATTTCCATTGGTGTTTTCTTCCCCACCCCCCAGCCCGAGAGATGACCGGTCACGAGCATTCCAAGTTTCTGATTAGATTTGCTCACATTCATCAGATTGAACAGTAGTATACCGCTTGAGTCAATCGACCAAAATGTGACTGCCACCTATCCTGGACCTTAAATCATCATCTTGATGACGAAATAATTAGACGATCAACTCCAACTCGAAAGTGAGGTCGCCTCCTTTCTCGACCCGCACTCCGCTGGGTTTTGGCAAAGGAGCATCAAGAAATTTTCTGAGCGTTGAAGACAAGTGGTGGACACTCATGGTAGATATAAGACCGGTCAGGAGTTGTAACCAAAAAAGATAAAATTAAAATCAAAAATTCGAAAAAGTGTCCTTTCCAACCTAATAGGTCAAGCCCCTCCCTGCATCTGAAGATTACAAAAAGCCGAATAAGCCGCATTAGGTAGTTAATCTTAAGCCTAGTCATTCAAAATTCATTTGCTATGCTGGCGGCTATGCGATACACTCTAAATTTTATATGAAATATCCCATATTTGTTTATTTATTCATTCATTTACTTATATTGACCGAACGATCTTTTGAACCATGCTAAACAGAGCTATTACTGTGAAGCCCGCTACTATTCCTGGTACCTTATAAATGCTTCTTCGCAAAGAAGAAAATTTTAAAGTGGCACCCACGAGGGTGCCATTGTCGCGAAAGGGTCAATCCTGATCTCTGCCTTTGATTTGGTGAAGGTTTTATTTCGAATTTGCAAAAACTTATAAGCCCACGAAGTTTCCATCCCCGAGAAATTTCTTTCTACCCCGAGAAATTCCTTCCTATTCTACCAACGTTCTCCACCCTAGTTTTTTTTTGTTTCTGTTGTGCTTTTCGGCTCAATACTTGTTAGGCGACGAGCTTGCGAATCACGCCTGCGTAATGAAATCTTTTTATTTGTTGGAGTTCGCGAGGACGAAAGGAGCTTCGAGCTAAACAGCATCTAACTGGTATAATACAATTACGCAACCCCC